AACCCCCCTTATATACGCCACTACATTTAGAGGTGACCATCCGGTAGCCCCTGCCCTATATTTGAGATCATGCACTGATAAAAAAACATTTGTAAAATTATATTTTTTGACAAGTTATGAAAAAATAATGAAAAAAACAATTATCTTTAAAAGGAATACAAAAAAGTTGCAAATTTGCAAAATAAAACAGTAAGTAAGCTGCCCACTTGACAGTTAGGAATGATTAGTAAATTACGAAAGTTATGACAAATTATAATAGGGATAGTATCTTTACATTTTACTTCAATCTTGAAGACATCTCATGAACTGTTTTTTGTTGACAAAAACAAGGATCGTCATTCCCGTGAAATTTAAAATGTAAACAAACTATATGAGAACTTCTATAATACATACATATATATAAGAATTGTTACCATAGTTACAAATCCTTCTATATATATTTAATGAAATTAATTTATATGAAATTATTTCCAAGAACCAAAATAGTACTCTTTTACGAATTTTAAGACACAAATTAAAAATAACTGTCAACAATAGATTTTTCTCATATCAAAAACTGAAAACTGAAAAATATACTTGTAAACGTGAAAAAAAGAAAATGTTGGCATATTGATATGGGTTATAATAGCCAGTGCTTAGGATACGGATCTAGACCAGTTGGGTCCGCAACATTTTGACTTCCTGGATCCGCATATTTTTGCAGATCCGTTGAAAAATATCAACGAAAACCTGCTTAAGAAAACTTTTTGTTCTGTTCTCACAAATCTCAACTGTTAACTAATGAGGGATTATTAGAAACTTCCTGATATCTGAATGGTAGATCATTTTGGCTTGAGCATAAAATTATGCGAAACAAATTTAAAAAAATGTATAAACATTTTATTTGTTCGATCCGGATCCATTTTTTTTTCAGGCGAATCCGCATCAAAATCAACTGGATCCTAAGCACTGAATCCGCATCAAAATCAACTGGATCCTAAGCACTGAATCCGCATCAAAATCAACTGGATCCTAAGCACTGAATTTGAAACTGACCTAAATATCCGAGTTCAAATCGATTTACAGAATTTAAAAGAAAAATTTTTAATTTTTTAATTCGGTAAACTTTTCATCTTAACTTTTACTAGAGATTTTTTTTTCACATTATTTTCATTTGAACACATTTCCGACGGCCATTTTAATTGTATGAAAAATACATCTTGTAAGCATGTTTTACAGGTCTTAGAAGAATACATACTTTAAGTGTAATGGTTCTTTAAAATGAGAAAATGTTTCACAATATAAATATTTTACATTTATATGTATTCAAAGAATGTTTAAAGAATTTTGACTACTCAGGATCGTCGAGATACCTGAAACATATTGTTAAATACAATTCTTTAAGAAATAAAATGTGAATAAAAAACTGGAACATATACATATATATATACGAAATACATAAATAAACTGTAACCCAGGCAGTAGTGAATATGGAAAATGCATGTAAAATTATAAAGATAAAGGATTCACCGAGCAAGCTAAAAGATTAATGCTGTGTACTGTAAGTGTAAGTTGCACAGCCCAAATTAGGAAAACACTAAGCTTGTATCTGAAGCTCAGAACTATCAATAATCTCCACGTAGTTGGCAGGAAATAAACCATAACTACCGTCAGGCCCCAGACCCTGAAAATAGTGAAGATATTAATTGCACCGGCGAAAAAAATCTTTGGTTGAAAAATATTTATTTCTGCCACAACTAGTCCGATCAAGAAGGCATTGTGGAATTTCTGACGAGACTATTTTAGATGATTGCATTGCATTTTCTGTTATATAAGAGGAGGGGGGGGATNTATTCCATTTTTGTCAAATGTTAAACCGATCGGCCATACCCTAAAATATCCCACTGTATAGAAAGTTAAATGTAAGATATATTTGATTTTATCTCCTAAATATGTACGACGCAGATGAAATGGGACATTTAAAAAATCTGATAAAAATCTTTTATTTTAATAATAGTTTGTAACTCTGTATCAATACATAATAGTTAAAAATAGATTTACAAGAAAATACCTATGATACAAATGCTAAAGCCCATGCTAATGGACTGTTAAATATGTATATAGAAATTCATGCATACTATTTACGTACACATAAATTGTAATTTTGAACGTAATGCAGCACTAGCAGCTCTATGGTAAAAATATCAGATTATACTTCATTGCAGGCTTAAAGCAGACATCTGTTAGCTTACCAAAAAAGCTTCAAGCCCTTGATCTTAGTAGATATTTACTTTTAGTGATCAAGGGCTGCTCTGTTGGATTTTGAAATAGAAAATGTTTGCTAATTTAGCAATACATTTGAAATAAGGTATATATATATGTAAGCTAATTTCAGCGAAACATTGAGTCAAACACACATACACAAACAGAGACGGCTTAAGAGGAAGGGAGAAGGGGGGATGTCCCACCCATGAAAAATTTTGCCTGTAGTGCCACTTAAATCAGTCGAAATAAAGTTATTAAAAAACATAATAATAGAAATGAACACATTTTTCCGCTGTAAAATATCGTAAGCCGCCCATACTTAAAGACGAAAATAAAAATTAAACATACGATACCTGCCACCATCCTGGGTCAATCTGGTCAATATGCGTAATTATCTGTCCAGGATCAAAGGATATCTCAGTCTCGTCACTTGCCTAAAAAACGTTTTAATTAAAAAAATTTAGCTTATCATCTTAACCACTAGAATCTAAATGGCCTAGATACAGGAACACAATTAGGTAAAATCTAATATCAATAAAATAAAAAAAAATCGACCTATTAGACCACTGCTGTCAACACAGGGGTGCTACTCCGGTTGAGCTTAGTAGGCCTTAAACTTTCACTAGACATTCTTTAAGTGCAAGATCATATTTTACATCACCTGGTAATCATAAAGAGAAACTGCACAGACGCCGTAGCTCTCTAGAGACACGTCCTTATCCTTCTCCATGTTAACAGGCATGGCATGATGTAGTTCATTTGAACCAAGTTTATAATCTGTTGATTTATCACATTCCTCCTGAAATATGAAAACAGTATTAATTATTTCTATTGCAAGATTTTGATTTCTTAATCTGAAGATAACCACCTCAAATCCTATTGGTGGCGCCAATTGGTGATCGTTCTCATCCTTATCCTCGACCCTATTTGGCAGGGACTCATTTCTAAGTTTGTTAGGCTCTAGTTCTAAAGAATGGGGATCTATATTTAGTGGTTGAACTGAAGCAGGTTGATGATCTGCCTGAATAGGAGCAGGTTGATGATCTGGCTGAATTGGAGCAGGTCGATGATCTGGCTGAATTGAAGCAGGTTGATGATTTGGCTGAGCAGGAACAGGTTGATGATCTAACTTGAAAGGTGGAGGCTGTAACGCTGATCTAACAACACCAGTAGAAGGAGCTGATACCACAGGAGGATTCGATTTCGCGACAACATTCATTTGTCCCTAAACATTTTTTATTATTACTTCTGGTGCCAAACTAAAGGTTTTTTTTTAAAGCAAAAAGTGTTTATTGACCTTAAATACTGAAAATTAGGGTTTTAAGGGGATGCAATTTTTCAAAAGTCTACATTTTATTATGGAGCGCTCACAAAAATTACGAAAGGGGACAGTCAGTTTTACCAATTTGTGTACAAGTTGGGTTATGGGTTCCTGTGAATCCTGTCTTCATTTTTCGAGCAATCTTGATGAAATTTTGCATATGGGCATCATTTGTGTTTGTTTCGAGTAAAATTAAAGAAAATGGGAGAAAAATTATTTCCCAGTTAATGTTTTTTAAAATCAATTTTCCCCCCTTTTCCCTCTTTTATTATATTTTCCCAACTTGGTTACATTTTATAAATTCATGAATTCACATTTCAATGAAAATAAAAAAAACCTTTTGCATACAGGCCTAAATTGGATTGAATTTTTGGAATAAATATCCCCCCCCCTCCCAGATTTTAGATTTTCAGATCACTTTCCCGTAATCAGATTTTCCCATTTTGTTAACTTATGACATAGTTTTTCATCTAAAAAAAAAGAATTTTGCACATATAGAGATGTCAACGTTTTGCTTTTTTTTAATCTCAGCTTTCGTTACGATAGTGCTCTTTAAAAGTATAAACGTTAGAAACGTGACCAACGTGAAGTCATGAATTTTCTGCATTTGAATACCTTATACAACGTTAAGCTTTAATAAATTTTGGTGACAAAAAAGTAAGCTCCATTACGCTTTTGCATTCCCCGGTTTAAAAAACTTTCCCAACGTTGCGTTAAAGCTTTAATAATATAACAACAATTTTCTAGCGTTCCACTTTCATTTAAGGTAAATGATTTCAGAGACCTTGCGTTTCAATTTTACTTGGTTTGAAAACTAAAAAGGTGACAAACGTCTTGCTTTAATAAAACGTCATTTAGGCATAATTCTGCACGTTGTAATAAATGTAAGTGCTAAGAATACTTTTTGTTAAAGTAACGTTTTTTCTTAACTTTTCCAAAATAAAATCTTTTAATTGCGTTTAGAAATTTTACTAAACTGCAACTTTTAAAGGGATTAGAAAATATGAGTTTGTGACAAAAACTTAATTCCTTTAGACTTTCTCATCTAATAGATGTCATGGTTTGAAATATCAAAAGTCTACAACATCCGCTTGCAAAGATATAGAGATTAGAAAATTTTAATTTTGTGGCGGAGGTTTAGTTTTTTTGTGTGTTTTTAATATGTTACTCACAAGGTGAGTAAAAAACGGCATTAGCTTGAGTTTACACACCACAATGAAAATGTTTTAAAAATTCATGTTTTGGGTTAAAAAGTATAAAAATAAAGTAAGGCAAATGCTAAATATTTTTTTAACACAAACAACGCGTATTAAAATTTTACTTTTTTAACCAATCTATTAAAGTTTCATAAAAATCTTTTGACGAACAAAACATAACACGCATTTTCCAATTGATAAAATATTTTTGCATTTTAATAAGTATCTATATTTCTAGATTTTTCAACCTAAAACATGAACCTTGCCAACTGAAGTTATGATTTCAAATAGCCAAATAAACATGAAACACTGCAATTGTGTAGTGTACACAGACCCGTTCCAATTAATAAGTTTATCTTTCTATGTAAATCATTTGCTTTATAACATCAAATGCATATGTAAAATTTCTTTAATGTCGTCTTCCTTTTCCAGAGTTTTAGGGGGTTCCATTGAACAATGGCAAATCAAAAACCATGTCCCAGAAAAATTTACAAGATTTGAATTTTCACTAATAGCGAGTCACAAAAAAACCTTTTTTTTAAATTTTCACTAAAAACAGGCCCGTTTATAATTTGTATACACCTGCTTATATGTAACAGGTCAAAATACTTCAATTCTATATCAGGCAATTTTAGTTTTCACTTTAGAAAAGAACTGAGTTCTTGTCAAATATTCTAATCCATCTATCTTCCCAACCTGATAAGTTTAAACCTTTGATGTTGAAATAATAAAGATCTACGACATCGGGTTGCAGAGATATAGTGATTGAAAATTAGAGTTTTTGGCATTTTCTCATTTCCTTTATACTTGAAATAAAAAAAAATTATTAGTCTGTGCTGTCATATTCATCAGTCATCTCGTACATTAATAAATGAGAGACGTTTTGAAATGTTTTTATAGGCAGAATTATTGTTACACTTTTGAATAATTTACAGTTTCAACAGTAGAAGGTAGCCAAGACNGGCACTACTCTTTTTTTATACTAATCATGTTTCGGTTCAAGTTGAAGTTTGTTTACAAACAACCAATATGGTTTTCAGATCACTTTCCCCCCATCTTCCTGTAATTGTCAGATTTGTCCACCTTGTTGATATTTTCTACAGGGAAGGCGGTGAAGGAAATACAAGTCAAGAGAAGTTTGTTTAGTATAGTCCTACTAAGAATATACCCCAAAAAGCACATTTTTTTCACAAAAAAATCATCAAGTTCATTGAAATTGAAGAGCTTTCCATTTTAACGAGAACAATTTTAGAGTGGAATTAAAGTAATTACCTGAGACGAGTTTCTGAGAAACACCTTCTTCACGTCAGATGTCCTTTGTCTTATTAACTCCTGAGCCTCCTTAGCTCGGTCTTGTCTCATCCTCTCCGACCTCAGGTTACGTTCTTTAGACTCCGCAGCATCATCAACCTAGAAACAAGATTAAAGGGAGTGTTCGCGAAAAATGAAAGGGGGTATAGGCTTAATGCGATAAAAAAGCGCTTTTGATCGCTACTAATCTTACTTCTATCTGTTGCGTCTATAAGGAGAAAATTGTTTAAATCGACTAATACCAAAGAACGTAGTGTCCATACAAATTCAGAAAATTGCAACATACGACTTAGACCGTAAAAAAATCAATTTAATTTCAAACAAATCATTCAGATATTACAACCTATAGTCATCGATTATCTTTCGCCACATTTGTATATAGTTGATTTTTCATAATATGTTTTAATTGTTATGATCTGAGAGTTACTTATAAAAACATTTATTCCTGCTTCGAGGATTTTTGGTAATGAAGACGACATTTTCATATTTTCCAGGAATGTTCGAAAACAAGTTGCAAGCTAAATATTATTTTAAAAAATAAAATCTAAACATATTATGAAAAATCAACTATATACAAATGTGGCGAAAGATAATCGATGACCATAGGTTGTAATATCTGAATGATTTGTTTGAAATTGAATAGATTTTTTTACGGTCTAAGTCGTATGTTGCATCTTTCTGAATTTGTATGGACACTACGTTCTTCGGTATTAGTCGTTTTTAACAATTTTCTCCTCATAGACGCAACAGATAGAAGTAAGATTAGTAGCGATCAAAAGCGCTTTTTTATCGCATTAAGCATATACCCCCTTTCGTTTTTCGCGAACACTCCCTTTAAATATGTAAAAGCTTAGGTCATAACACAAAATCTAGAATTATTATAATTGTTCTTAATACACTTTATTTTTTTCTTACTTAAGGTGTCGTGAACCAACCTCCCCCTTCTTCTTCTAAAGCTCAACTTCCCGTGATCATTAATCCATATTAACCTAATCTATCACGAGGGTTGCTTTTTTCAGAAGGAGGGGCTGGGTGGTCCAGTAGAACTTATAGTACCTGCTGTTTTTCCCATCTAGACATGTCAATTTTAACCCTTTCCTCTTCAGAATATTTTTCCTGTTCTCTCTGCTCCCAAACCTTCCGTTCTTTGTCTTTGATATGATTATCTCGAGCTTCACTTTCCACTTGTTCTCTTTTCTTCCGCTCCTCCTCAGCATTCTTAGTTTCTTGCGCCCTGCGGTCCCGTTCTTCAAGAACTCTATTTTTTTCTTCGTCCTGATCTTTGCTCCAAAATTTTTCTCTTGTCTCCATGTTCGGTAGTTCACGCTCAGGATTTATCTTCTTGTGACACGTACCTACTGGAGCAGGACTATATTCCATACCTTGAGGTTTCTCTTTGAAGTTGTAAGAGGAGCCTGTAATTTCCGAAACTTTTTTTGTAATGGTCTCCATGTCAATTTCGTCCTCGTTCCTTACGTTTAGAGTTAAATGATGTCCAAAAAGAAAACGTTCTATATCACGAAGATGCATGGCACATACTCCTTTCCTTCCTCCAGGAGCAGTCTCACCCTTTACAAACAAATATTATCATGAGAATAAGGTGGTTCTGTCTATATATATATATATATATATATAAATAATCTTCTTCGTGCAAATTTTCTTCATTATTAAAGAATAGTAGAATAATGTTTGATGCCATATGCTAAAATACTGATTGATAAATAGATAGTTGTAAATGACTTAAAGAAACAGTCGACTTAATTTCATGTGAACCTTCTTAACAAGTTAAGAAAATATTGTTGTTTTTCTTTCTAAGAAAGAAATTTGTGTCAACTTCGTTCTTTGTCTTTTGACACCACAATCAAATATAAAATTTTCAATTTCCATCCTTTTTTCTCAGACAAAAGATATAGGGTATATACTGTTGAGAACCGGAAATGTAACTCTTAAAATAGAAATTTGGAATTGCACCGACCGTTTCATGAAAGACAACTCCTATCTAAAGCAGAGCGACGGAATATAATAATCTTATGAGGAAAAAAATGTAATAATGGAAATTCTTTAACGAGATGAAATAATCTTGATGTATTCTTTAACGAATGCATCAAGATTATTTCATCGAGTTTAAGAATTTAATTATTACATTCTTTACCTCATAACATTATCAATATATCATATTTGTGAGGTTCCATGGGACATACCCAAGAAATTATAGTAGTATAGTATAGGGGTAACTTCACAAAATACAAGCAAATTTAATCTTTTTTATTTTATTTTCTAGATTAGTTTTTGAGAAGAAAATAAATTTAATCCCCATTTTGATTTCTCAACCCCCAAGCAAGTTTTGTTCCTTCTTTTATCTACTTTTTAACCAAAAATTCATTAATTTCCCTTTAAAGATAATTAAAGATAATTTATTCTCCCAAATTACGTTAAAAAACTAAATGAAACTCCTGTTCCATTGCAAAATACAGTTCCATCAAAAAACATCTTTTAAGACGGGCACTTTAAATGTTTTCTGATACCTATCTTTCTAAACTCAAAAAATGCATATATTTCTGACATTTCAAATCAAATCAAATCATTCTTTTAGGAACGTCCTAAACCCACACTCCAAAATTTATTATTATTTACTGAGTATTTGCCCTGTATTTTGGGAATAACTAATTCCTCCTCGTATCTTTTATACTTTGTTTGCTTTTGATATTTTAGTGCCAAAGTCCATTTATTTTTTTTGGTTGTCGTTCTTTTCAATTATAGCTAAATTTTATAAATGTCTCAGACCATTCAGTCCTTAACCTAATTTTAAAAAAATGTCATTTCTACATAAATGTCGATTTTCAAAATACATTATTATTATTAAAATTTAAATTCTTCGAATGAAACCCTTTACACTTTTTGTCGCTCCGAGCAAACATATATAACTTTTGGGAGAAAAAATTATTTTTAAAGGGGGGATAATGATTTTTCGACACAATATACAACCCTGAATAAATATAATACATAATTCAAAAACATATTTTATAAAAATTTTTTTCTAAAATCAACCCAGTAGCGGGGAAAAGAAAGAAATCAAACAAAATCAATTAGCTCTTATTAGAACTTCTTTAAAACTGTTCCATTGCAAGCTATAAAACCTTATTTTAGTCCTGCCTCTATTAATTATTTTGGGATTAGAGTATTGTAAAAGACGTCCCTAAAAGCCTAATATAAAATACATACCTGCCAATTAAGTATCACATACTTTGGAAGACTTGTTTTAGGATCTTCTACCCTCAGAAATCCATACATAATTTTACTTGGGTTCAAATCTTCTATCATCTCATCTATTCCATCTTCACCCTTACCAACCAGGGTCAAGATATTAGTCTGCCCCTCGTAACCAAATAAAGCCCAGTTGATAGAACTGTTGTCATTGGTAACATCCTTCCAGGCTTCCTGAGGAATAACCAAGTTGTAGTTATTTTCCCCACCTTCTCATTAAATATAATTTCCCCCTCAATATGAAGTTTCGATCGATGTGCAAATTTTATAACAGATTTTCTTTTACTGTTTTTTTTTTCAATGGTGGGGAGAATGAGTAAAAAACTTGTTGGAAAAGGTAACACAATTGAGAAAAGAAATAAACCAAAATAACAAATTTCTGCAATTTTCGAGTAGAAATCTTGTGAATCTTCCTGAAAAGGTGTTCACTTTGCAACATTGGAAATCACGCACAGTGAAATATATATTAAATATGTGTCACTGATTTACCCAATATTTAAATCTTAATTTTTAACTTGAATCTATTCTGCATATGTAATAGTCCAGTTTCATATATAGAATATATAAAAATATATTTGTTTTTATTCTGTCTCTCCCAAAGCCAGGAATTTCTATTTTTCTCAAGTTTTCGAAATAAATTGTTGTAAACTGTTACTATAAAAGTAAAGGAACTTCAAACTTAAAGTTTTATGAACCCAGAACTGATTTACGAAAATAAAAAAATTGATTTATGCCCTAACATAGTCAGATATATGAAAGCTGGTGTTACTTCAAGAATTCGACACTTAAAAAAAGTTAATATTGCAAGGTAGCTTGAAACAAGAAAATGAGGGGAATGTAGCTCGGGCTAATAATTGGTGTAATTGGTTTGAACCCCTCATCAGACAAGGGGTGGAAGGGGTCCACAATAGCAAGGTCAAGATTAAACCAATCTTATATTTTTGGGATTCGTATATTCAGAATTTTAGCCAAGACTCTGAGCTCTCAGACAAGGGGTATTTATTTCCTAAAAATGTCTCAAAAGTCAAAACTTAATGAAATGTAGAAATAATAATATTTTAGAAGGGGTAAAAATCATATTTTTTTTTAGTCTAGAGGGGAGCAAAACACCCCCTGAATCCGCCTTTTTAACGCCGTTAAATCAAAGGATACCTTCATTTTTGCTTCGTTCTTATTTAGATCCACCATTTTGATGACTCGAGTTTCTTAAAAAAAGTTTAATTATAAATGAATTGGATTTGTTCATGGTTATTGGTTTTTATCTCTGTTTTTGAAAATCTCACATTAGAACTAAACCCAAGCTTTTACTTGAATTACAAAACAAAATTATGTAACACTAACAGTAGCCCCTGAAAACAATAACTGTTAAAAATCAAAGCAGAATAGATTTTACCTTTTTTCTAGATGATATTTCGTCCAATTTCTTACTTCTCACAATTAGCAGCTATACCTTGACTATCATTTTCTCTGAAAAACATACGAATATTGCTATCTATTCTAATTGAGATCTTGAAGGTTTATTGTTGAATGTTTTACTAATGGAGCCAGGTACACTTCATCACTAGATTCCGCTTGGGTAACACCTAGTATAACAAAAGTTTTAAAAAGTTTTTTTAAATTTTTCAATGAAATAATCATGATAGCTAAGGAAAATTAACACCTAGCGTATTTACGTAATATTTCTTAAAGAATAATTCAATTTCCATCTAATTTACAACATGGAAAAAATATATAAATATTTTAAAAAAATTTATTTTCATGGTAATGCGTTTCAGTTTAAACACACTGAACTGGACAGAAGGAGGTAAAAGGAATTGAGTTTTTACCACAAATACTGATTTTATAATCCCTATATCTTTGCAATAAACTGCTTAGATATTTCAAACTATAAATTCTCTTATGTCAAATAAACTAAATTTGAAATAACAAAGCTTTAACCATCAGGTTGTAAAGCCATAGGGATTAGAAAATTTGAGTTTGTGGCAAAGACTCAATTCCTTTTTTTTAAGTTGTGACCTCGTAGCTCCTCTAGTTTTTATTTTACAACAATTATGCGAAAAGAAAATTTATCAAGTTACAACTTACATATTAGAAATTGAAACATTTTTGTCCATTTACGTGCAATTTCCTTTTTTACTTGAGTACTGACCTAGATTGGATTGCTTATTAGCTTCCAAAAATGTGACTTCCTCGGCAAAGTTTTCTAAATTTGTTTCAAACCCTTCCATTGCTGGACTCAATGTGCTACTAGCTTGAATACAAGGGAGTTCGAGTTCTTCCTCAGGTTCTAAGATCTGACCATTACGTTCAAATATTATAGGTTCGTCGATAAGAATTTCCACCTCGCCATTCATCGCTTCAACCAAATACTGTAAGTAACTTGAACTCAATAAGTTGTTCAAACTAGTGAGACATGTAGAAAAATAAAATAAATACAACCCCATTTAAGGTAATTAAGAAAAATGTAAAGCAAAATAAAAATTAGTAAACTTTTATGAATATGCAAAGGTTGAATTGAGAGTCGAATAAGGTAATCGTAACAAAACACTTTTATTTAGAGATATAACTAATATCTTATCAATAATTTAGTTAATCAATTAAATTCAAATTAGTGTTCAAATTTTCCTGCGATTCTTGTTGGCTTGTCAGATTGGATAAGTGTGCCAGGTTCGGCAAAGAGTAGAGTCCATTGTCCGACTGAATTACGGTTATTACATTCTCCTGATAATATTGCATGTTTAGGTTACACACTACACAGTCAATAAAAAGAAACAAAACTTATTAAACCACATTCTCATCAGATTTATTACGAGCCAATATAGCAATAATTAAGGTATATTGTATGGATGATATATTATTTTATCAATCTAGCAGTGAATTTGCAGCATTCAATAAAGAATACATCAAGATTATATTATCTCGTTTCAGAATTTCTAACATTTTTTACTGATAAGAATTTTATCATATTTGTAAGGTTTCACGAATAAATATCTAAGGAATTTCACTAAAACATATTTTTTGGGTGAAATATATCTTTTTTCAAGTTAAAAGAATTTACATTATAGTTTTGCCTTATTGATTACTTTCTTTGTTATTCTAGTCAGAGATGCAACTATAACTATTTTCTGTTGTGACGCGATTCTGGGTGGTAAGGAGATGCATTGGGGGGGATTCTATGAAGTCATCTAAAGAAGCACCAAAAAATGATGTTTATAATTTTGGTGTTCCGATGTTAAATCAAAGCATCTTTAATACATTTGCTTAATTCCAAAATTTTCTGACCTCCAAATTGTCCATCAAAGGTCAGAATATTGAAAAGTCTGATACTTAAAAACAGAGTTACGTAATAAATATGTAGTTCAGCCTGTAGAATGTTGCATTTCCCCCTTTCTGCCTGTTCATGGAGATCCTAAAGTGATCTTCCAAATCCGAGTTGATTTCAAAATTTGTGCCGGTATGCAAAGTTACAATTCTATCTCAATTTTAAGGACACTCAGCCTGCACAAATGAAGACGTAGCATCTATGTAATTTTGCAATATCTCAGCAACTATTGGTGGAAGCCGGTGCTAATTCAGCATCTTCAATTTCTCCGGTCGGAGACTGGATTATAGCATTTGGAATCTGACGGATTTACTTTGATTTGCCATTAAACTTATCACTGAAAATAACAACAACAAGGATCCTTATTAGCCGATATTTCTATCAATATTTTATGAAAACCAGCTACTCATCAGATTTGTTAAAACCCCTTTTTAAAATCAGCTAACCTTATATTTTCCTTCTAAAAAAAATGGTGTTCATTTTTGATAAAACCCAAACCCTAAATTTGTCATGTCTGGACAGTTATCTTGACTTAACCAGGGCAATATTGGAGAAGAGGTCATCCAGATCCGTGTTGATGACCATAATTTGAAGCTGTATGCGAAGTTTTAGCCATCTATCTCAATTATAAGGTCACTAGTCAGCAAAAATTTAGCGCTTATATGCGAATTGTGACATCCTGGGAAATTACCGATTTTAAGATAAATTTTGCGAATTTGTTCGAATCCTCTAAAAATGTGGCATCTAGTCATTATTTGACTTTACACTCTAGTTCAAATTTCTTAATGAATGCATCTAATTAGTTAACAGTTCTTGTGACCACCCTCTTCAAATGGGTTTTGGCTAAAGGCAAGATTCCTGCTTTTTTACTACTGTGGACTCTATGCAAATTAGTGCCAATACTGAAGTACAACTTAGATGACATTGCTAACAATAGCAATTATAGAGAAATTTCCATTGGAAGCTTGATTCCAAAATGGTTTGACTGGTTTGTATGGATTCTAAACTCAGATAAGCTGACCGCAGATGAGATTCAGNAGTGGATTATTACAACATTATTACTCTGGCAGGGAAATCCTTTCTCAAATACCTTCAATTTAAAAAAACGGAATCAGACAAGGAGCAGTTTCTTCTGTTCTCCTGTGCTATTCTGCATTTACATTGAAAGAGTTACAATTTATTACGCCATTCAACGATTGGATGCCAAATACATGGTGTCTATATTGAAATCTGGGTATGTGCAGATGATATAATTCTGCTTTCTCCTACAGCTTAACTCATTTATATCAAAACATCGGAAGTATTTATAAAATGTCGCCTTGAATTTGAAGCTGTCAGTTGTTTTGCCCAAGCTATTTAGGTTTTCTGCCAGATGCTTAACAGGGATATGTATAGTTTACAAAAACTTAATCAAAATTTTAGTGTTGAGTGTCAAAGTTTTTATCTGGAATGAATGTTTCCTAAATATATTTTTTGTAAAGATAAATACGCGACACATGTTATCCAAAACAATAGATAGTTGGGGGGTACAGATCATATAACTCTTGGCGGCATAACCAAGTGAAAAGTGATAAATACACACATTTTAAATATTCTTCCGATGTACTTATGAAGTTTAACGAGGGAGGGAACCCCCGGACGCCATGAGCCTCCGTTATGCAGACACGAGCCTCCCAAATTTGCTAGACTGACCGAGCCTCTGCTATGAAAAAATAAGCATGCGCAATACATCGAAATGTGCCTGTGTACTTGTGTTGTAAGTTTAAATAAAAGCGCTTTTTAAAATTTTTTTGATGTAGTGGCATGAGAGGTTCCTCAAAGATGAGAAGTATTTTTTAATTAGCATAAATAAATCCTGATTATGACTAATAAAGTGGTATCTAAAACTTTAAACATTCTTCACATGAAAAGAAAAAAAAATATTTAGCGAAAAAAAAATGAATTAAATTGAATTTCATCTTTTATAATCAATTAAGCATTACTTTTTCTTGTAGTTCAAATTAAATCTAGAAAATTTGTATAATTTATTTAAATCTTAACTTTTTTCAAAAAAAAAGGTATTGTTTAAATCAAAGATTACAACAAAACAAACTAAATTTACTCCAGAAATATTAATCCAAATATCTTCCTTTCTGCGTAAGAAATGTTATAAATCTTATGAACTACTTTGAGTTCATATATGTTTTTAATCATGACAATCAATAAATAAGTATCTTTAGTAAAATTCTTATGCCACTACTTCAAAAAAATAATTAACGTTTTATTACGCATAAAATCCAAGATTTAAAAAAGCTGTTCTGTATAGTGGAGGCTCGTTCACTGCATAGCGGAGGCACGCTCTGCATATGGGAGGCTTGTGTCTGCATAGCAGAAGCTCATGGCGTCCGGGGATTCCCTCCTTCGTTTAACTGTAGCAAAAAAGGTCTTCAGGAAATGGTTAAATTGAATTTTTTTAAAGCTACTAAGCTAAAAGGGGATAGTTACTTTGATCAATTTAGTTACACGGGTTCCTATCTTTATTTTTTTTTAGCAATTTTAATAAAATTTTGCATATTGGCATCTTTTGCAACTTCGTACGGATGTCAGTAATGAGATTTTTGACTAACTGGCAAGTGTTTTAAACCCATAACTTGCTTTTGAACCAGACTAGTTTGTGAAAAAGCTTAGAAAAACATGGAAAAGAGAAGGGGAATTGAAAAAACTATCCCCAATTTTAATTTTTGTTTAAATTAAATTAAGTATTGATCATGAAAAGATCCCCAATGTGGAATATCCGACCGCCATATTGATATTAGGACAAGGCCTAAAATCCGTTCAATCTAGGACTCTGCTATTTCTCTTTATGCAGGGAATATTACAAAAATACAATCCAATTAAAGCTTGCGTGTGAAAGATTTTTTTTCAATTAAAAATGCATTCATGATTCCAGAAAATGTGAAAAATATTAAAAAAGAAGGAACACATGATAAAATATGGAAAAATACTGAGAGAAGTGATCTGAAAAACCTTAAACTTCGTCCTAATGTTAGTGATGATATTCTTGACTAACAGATAGGTGTTTTAAACACCTAACTATTGAAGCAAGTTCTGAGCATTATGTAAAAATGACCATATAACACAGTTATTAGAAAAAAAATATTTTCCATTTTAAATCTATCTGATTTAGGTAAAATGTAAGCTAAGAAACAATTGCAATATTTTATATGTTGAAGGATTCGATTATACGTAGTAATTGAAATATTAATATGTTATCTAATGAGTAATAGTCAATGTAACATATTTGAATTCACCAAAAACTACTTACATGGCCATGATCAAAATTTGAATTATCCTGAGATTGGATTGTAATGAATATTTCTTCACTTCCTGGCAGCTCTGTCGGGATCGATTTCTTGTTTCCAATGTAATCCTAAATTAAAATAAAACTTTAAAAAGAATTACTGAACTTTTTACATTCGTCATGGGCAATGGTCATTGATCAAAACTTGTGAAATTCGACACCCATCATTAATTTAATCTACCGTGGTAGATTTTTAACCCCCCCCCCCCCCCAAAAAAAAAAAACCATTAAAATAAAAAATACGCGAACGATTTCTTAGGAAGCGGACAGGGGGGTGGATAATAAACTTATTTGTAGGGATAAAACAAATAAGGCCAATGACCTCGGAAGCATCTTGTTGTGGGTGTAGAATAACTGGAAGATCAGAACTTTGAATGTGTCTTTTCTCAACGAGGTCGGAGGAAATCTCATATTCAGGACAAGATAGCTCATCCGGAAATAGAATATCCTCTCCGACAGAGGAAAGAAGGGATACAAAATCAAGATGTGATGAGGATTCATGAGGTTCGGAGAGGTTGCCTTCCTGTAATCCTTTTCCATGTTCAGTCAAATGACTCTCAAACGACATTCGAGAAACAAACCTTAAAATAGTATATTTTTTATCTTAAAATGATCATCAAATTCATTATTAAGGATAGAACAAGGTGGATGTATAGTATGTATATTAACAATACTTATATAATTAATATACAAAAACAAGTTTTACCTACGAGAACAGTCAGTCATTGGGCACAATAAGGACGAGGTTCTCTCATTCCTCTTTCGGTGAACCTTTCTTACGTGATCAAGAAGCAAGATCCGTCCTGCAAACTTTTTCTCACAAAAGTCAGCCAAACATTGGAAAGGTTTTTCTAGGTTATGTGTGAGAGTGTGGGATCGATGATGGTCGGAACGGTAAAACGATTTTTGACAGACATTGCAAACAAAGGCAAGATCTTCATGTGTTTTGCGATGGCGTTGGAGCTTCGACAAGGACTTGAAACTATGATTACAACCTTCTTCGTGACAAGTATATCTCTGTTTTTCTGAATCACATCTTACAAGTCAATATGTGGGTTGGGTTCCAATATGTTTGCGTCTATTTGTTGACAAAACTGATAATCATTTGGCGACGAAGAATCGTTAAAGAATTTTTTAGTCTCAGATTTTTTAGAGAATAATCCCGGCATATATCGTGATGAATATGTTTATTCTATTTTATTGTTTATACGAAACTATTCCGTGGGCGCTCTAGGTCTCCCGGGGGGCGGGGGCCGGGGGGAGCTTTTAGATTTAACCTCTTATTATAAATCTTATAATAATGTATAATGAATGTCAAGATGGATTCCTGAATGAGTGAGTTCATGGTTGCGGAGATGATGAATGGTTGAATACCTTTTCCCACAATTCTCTGCTTGACAGGTGTAGGATGGAGAGTTGTGAAACCTGGAATGGGATTGAAGATGACTCTTATTGAAGTAGCTTTTGTCACACCCTGGGAACTTACAGGAGAACGGTTTGGGGACCAGGGGATGGAACCTTAAAATATTATGGCGTAAATTTCATTATTCCAATTTTTTTATCAATTCCAAAAATTACTGAACCTGGAAGAATGCTCCTCTAACAATTTCTTTCCCGTAAAAACTTGAGAACACTGAGAACAAACAAAACCTTGAAGCTTTCCATGGTTTTTAATGTGAACTGTCAGATTGTATTGAGTAGAAAACATTTTATCACATTGATTGTATGTGCACTTAAACTCCTTTTGTTTTTCATGCGATTTTTTATGTCTCTGTAATTTGAATGCAGTAACAAATTTCCATGTGCAGCCAGAGTGATCACATTTGTAAGGTTTAATGTTAAAATGTGTCATTATGTGCAGCTTCAATTCGTATCCACTACTGTAGGCTAAAAAAGGAAAAACTTTATCAGATTAAACTTGAATTTATTTAAAAACTTTTGGGGGGAACTTTAAATAGGTGTAAGCACCAGTAAAAATTACAAAAATATACTAAAAGGAGGAAGGTTAGGATCTGTAAAAAACCTTGCTCTTGTAAATAAAAATCAGCGGTTCTTTTAAAAGAAATGAGTTTAGTTTACAATCTCAAATATTTCTTAAGTGAACAGTCAGTTTGACTACAATAGTTGCAGGAAGGGGGAGTATGTTACATTGGCTTAATTCTTTAACTTTAATTTGTGCTACATTTTTCTAAAATGAGGCGAGACATGGAAAACGGGAGAAAGGTAGAATATATTTTACAATCGAGGCCCATCTTTAAAAAAACTTAAGATTAGGCATAAATATATTTCCATAAAATGTAAAAGCAAAGAAAAATGGGAATGAAGTATTAAAAAAGAAGGAAAACATTACGGAAAGCAAGTGCTCGAGAGATTAAAACATGCACTTCGAGTTCTAGAAATACATTTCTAATCAGGGGGTCCATATAATTTCATTTCTGATCCCAAATGTGATCGGGGTTGAAAGCACATTTAGGGACATGAAAATACACTTTCTGTGTCATTGTAAACTTTGGCAGTTTTCTGTGTACGTGTTCTACACTTCAGAAATGAGTACTGCATTGGGGTGCTACACTATGTAAATATCAGTAATCATTACAGGAGATAAATTGTGATATACATAATAATAAACACTCCCTTGCAGTTTCTGCAGTATGACTTTTTTCTACAATTTGACTTGATACTTCCAATAGTTTATTAGCAACATGGTTAATATATCAATTAATCAACATTTGCGATCGTATTGGATGGCATTATATGGACCCATGCATTTCTTGCATTATATGAAAGGCATACGGGGGAGGGGGGGGGGGGGTAGTCAAAAGGTTCAGAAATAAAATGGGGAGAAAGGAAAAGATTTTATTGAATTAATTGTGTCAAAATAAAGCTCAATTGAGGTCTGTGGAAAAACATTTAAAGAGTTGACTAAAACCGAGTTTGTGAATCAAAAAAGTTTCAAAAAATGGATAATTCAGGATAGGGGATAAAATGGGAAAAAAGGGAAAGTGATTTGAAAAAGCCTGAACCATTCTGATATTGGTTACAAGTTTCTCGAATGATATAATGCCTTTGGAGAAAAAGTTTTGGTGATGAATCTCAGAAACAATGTAGTTTGGAGAAATCATCCACTCTTTTTATTACACTCTATTAATTGCGATTGCTTTTAAAGCATGAAGAAGTGAACCCTGAAACAAATATGGAAAAACTTGAGAAGAAAAAAAAGTTTAACCGAAATTCCTTTTGTACAGTCTTGGTATGAACAGCATAAGTATGTCTCTTCTCCGACCTACGAGATAGAAGGCAATTAATAGAAAATACCATTGGTACAAACATCCTTGTGTCAAATCAAATCAAATCGAAGCTAATCAAATCGAATCGAATCGAATCGAATCGAATCGAATCGAATCGAATCGAATCGAATCGAATCGAATCCAATCCAATCCAATCCAATCAAATCAAGTTTAAATCTTAAAGGGAACCCAACAATGTTTATCATTTCCTTTCAAACCTTCTTTGACGCGTAGTTTAAGTCAAAAATTTTCCATTATCATTCATGATTGGATAAGTTAAATGAAAATTAACAATAGTAGATATTTATTTGACAGTAAATAATGAATTAAACTGTTGTGATAAAACCAAAATATATAGGGGTATATATAATGTATTTATGCATCCGTGCGTTTCCCACGATCACATGAGTCAGAATATAGCTATATAAAAAGTTATAAAAAATATTTCAGAACTATTTCACATTTGCAGATTTCCAGCGGGGCAATTTAACACTTTTTGACACCAAATTGTGCTTATTTTAATACTAAACATGTTAATAGGATACATGGCCATACATTAATTTAGCCTTTTTTTGTTTACTGGGCGTTAAGCAAGATTTTTTTGGATCCAAGGTCACTGATCCTGGATTAATCTGGGTGAACATTGTACACCCATTACATCCAATACACTGAACAACATTGAAACACAAAAAATCTGCCGCAAATAGTATATCCAAGTCCATGAAATATGCCACAATGAGTATTTTAGTTTTAAAGGAAAAGGATGAAGTTAAGGTTTTAATGGAAAAATATGGAGAAGAGAAGGTTTTGAAGGAATAGGATGGAGATTGGAGAAGGTGAGGCTTTAAAGAAATAAAGTGGGGAAAGGAAGGGTCTAAAAGAATAGGATGGAGAAGATTTGAAAGAAATAGGATGGATAAGAGAAGGTTATAAAGAAATAGAATGAAGAAGAGAAGGTTTTATAGGAATAGGAAGAAGCAGAGCAGATTTTAAAGAGAAAGTATGGAATAGTTGAGGTTTGAAACGAATAGGATGGATTAGAGAAGGTTTTACAGGAATAGGATGGAGTAGCGCAGGTTTTACTATAAAATTTCCTAAAAAATCCAATTTAGCCAAGAATTGTTAAAAAGGGCCAAAAATGACGGGGAAAACAATAAAATGGTTGGCTCATTTAGAAAAATTATTCATAAATGCTGAAATTTTGTATTTGAGCTAGTTTTACCCTATGCTTCCAAATATTGTGTCGCACATCAGGGAATTTTATCAGAAGCACACCCCTTCCCTTGTTAATAAAGGGAAAACTTTTAATTTTAGTCCTTAATCCACTCCTTTTCTCTCCCTTTGGATATCCTTACATAATTTTCTCCAACAAGAGTGCAGGAATATAGTTCGTAAATTGAATTGAACAATGACAGCTTTGTAAATAAATTCTATCCCATGAGAGAAATCCGCAATTTCTAACAAATCAAAAATTTGTTGTCGGCCATTTTGTAAATCAATCGGTGAAGAAAAATATTTAATAATACGTTTGAGATTCTTTTGTAACCAATTTTAACTAATGTATTAATAAATAAATGGGTGAGAAATTAAGTGAGGGCCCTTTCAGTCAAGAAAACCATTCTTAGAAATAATCCAATTTGTTTGATCTAAATATTTAATCTCACGACTAACATAATCTCGAGATTATGTTAGTCTCGAGATTAGCAAAAACAGATGATTAAGCATTAATCCTGATATCCACCATTCTCAAGTTCCCAGCTCCCAGCTATGTTTTTGGTTATTAATCTTTGGAAGACTCCAAATTTTACATTTTTCTAAAATACTTTTTAAAAGATTTTTAAGCTAAATTCTAAATCAGGGGATCATGGAGATTGGGGGAAAAAATATTTTTTAAGAGACCCTTGTAGTCAGGGATGAAATTGATAAGAATATCCAAAACTCAAAATACATATATCACCTTTATTTTTTTTATCTCTAAGTCGATACCCATGTTCTCTAGGTCTAATTTCAATTGCATGTCTGATGAATGTATGAAGACGCTGGTTTTTTTTCTCAGTTCACAAGATAACGGGTTACTTTTGCCTGGCCCTAGTTTATCACAGGATCCCTTATCTTCATTTTGTTCCTTAGGCAAAGGTTTCCATTGTATTGGGAAAGACAATGAACTGTTCTGGGCAAATGAAGGATTTGATATATCTTCTAGGTCACGTCCAGTATCAGGCAACTTCTCTGATCTTGGTAAGCCTAGAATATCATGCATGAACACAAGATTCCAGAATGATCATACTTGAAAACGACCTGAAGCTGGTAATTTGAGAAGTCTTCTAAGCACTTGCAAGTTATCCGGGTGGTAATTTCGGAGCGTTTCTCCTGCCTTCCTTTAACAAGAAAATTACAAATGAGAGTAACAAAAAATATGAAATTTTTATTTCTAAAAAATTACCTCATGTTTGCAGTGTGAATGCAAAATGAATGCTGCTCCGTATCATCTATGGAAGAAAAGGTAATTTTTGTCATGTTTAGACTCTTGCTGGAGATGAGAATAATCTTTGCTACAGCTCCTGCTGGGGGTTCTGGGGAAGAATGTAGACAGACAGATTTGATTGTTATAGTTTTATCAACATTATCATCAGAAATTTGACTTGGAATATTGTGGCTCTTGTCGATTAAACCTTCAAGATTTTCAAAGTTTTTCGCCATAATATTCAGAACATCAGAAGTAACCTCGAATTCAACTTCGTAACTCGGCTTATGGTCCATAGTTCCAAGAACATTTGGAAGCTGTTCGTCAATCGTAACGCTGGGTTTACTGGTTTGGTTACCAACTCCGAACAATTCCTCTAAATTTTCAATCAATGACCGGTCCAGAACATCTCCTTTTTCTCTTTCTCCAGACTCTGAGAGAAGTAGCGAAAGTCTATTTGCCTCTTCAGTAAGATAATTAGCAGAGCAGTATCCTGAGGGGGTTGCCAAAGAATTAAAGTATATATCAGAGAACTGGGCGGGATTTTTAGACTTACAAAGTAATCTGTCACTTGCAAGGTCAAGGAACTCAAGATCACCGAAATTGCCATCTTCGATGGGAAAATGGTAAAATTCAGGGATTTCAAGAGAAGGGAACGGATGTTTAAAAATGTGGTCATTTGTTGGTATGAGGTCGTCTAACACGTCCATTTTATCTGAAATTTTGAACTCTTTAAAGAAATTTCAAAATCTATTTATTTACAACAGAACTATAAATAACTATGTCCGCGATGATAAAATCCTATTAGTGTGTCTCCTTAGATTCATGACCGTGTCCGTGGTCATCATGAGAATTCAGAAAACGGTGAACCCCTAAAATTATTTATGCTAATTATTAAATGAGGTAAATATTTTAATCAGTTAAATCTACATGCTCAACGATTTTGGAAACATTTCGGGATTAAAGAAGAATGAAACATAAAAGCTGCAAGCTATTATACTTTTAACTACCGCATAAAAAAATAATTCAATTTTTCCAAATATCATTTAACTTCTACAAAGGTGAATGAATCAAGTGAAAAAAATTTAAAAATTAAATATTTTTCGTTCTAAATGGTTTTTAAAAAGGGTGGAGAGAATTTGTTTGCAAATAAATATCTAATATTTATCCCTGAAAGATATTTTCAAATATACAAACCTGCCGTTACTACAGCTATAACAAGTCCGTACTTGAGTCCGCGGAATCCCAAAGAACCAATAATCCTTTGCTTCATCGTTCCTCCAAGTGCAGGGTTTCTCTGGTCATATCTCCAGACCTCATTTCGGAGCCAAGGGTCCTGAATCAAGATGATTTAAGAAAACAATCGATGGTCGGTGAGTACAAACGCCGGACTGGTACAAACGTTAGACTGGGACAACCGTCGGACTAGTACGAACGTCGGACGGGTACAAGGAAAAACGTCTGTTTTTGGTTGAGTTTGAGAAAAAAGAACCATTGATATAATTCGTATAATAGATAAATTAAAAATCACTCATTTCTTGTGATAAAAATCAAAGATAAGTGGGTTCTCTGATAAATGCGCAACAAACCCATTAAGAAGTTGATTAAAACCAAGAAATCTTTGAATGAATGTTTTCTCAAAGAAAATATAAATTTATTTTACATATGGTAAGATATTTTTGTATGTTTTATTTGCTCGAGAGGAAAATCATTGGAGAATGCTGAAAAAATCCATAAAATTTATATTCCCCTCGAATTCAAAAATTCTGTCTCTCCATGCAGTAAAAACCAGAAAATTGTGTGGAGGCGGGGAGAATGAATGTCGTCATTTTTTAATCTTCTACTCAAGAAATGTTGATAAAGATTATCTAAAATTGTTCAGGGCGTTTTTTAAAGAAAAACTTAAATTGCAAATTACAAAATTCTTTGTGACATTTTATGATAAAAATAAGAAGACTATTTTCTAGTTATCACTGTAGTTTCCATGCCATAGCATTTCAATTGCAACTTGAAGTTTTTAAGATTTGGAAATAAAGAGGGAAAATGGGACGGTAAAAAATTGATCTAATCTCAAATGTTTCATGAACAGGATAGTTCGTAAAAAAATATTGAATAATACAAATCTACGATTTTAAATCTACATTTATCTGGGAGGAGTTTTTTCGCACATTCGGAATAATTTAAAACTAATTATCAAGGTATGAGATGTAATGTGTTTTTATGAGGGGGGGGGGAGGGGGTTTCCTTACAACAAATACCTTCAACCCGAGACTTTTGAGCATCCTTTGAGTTTTCAAAAGCTCCGGGGTATGCTCTCCGACCGTGTAGGTTCTCCAGTCCGGAATGTGGGGCAGTTCTCCACCACCCATATTTCTGAAAATGAACAGGATGAGTCAAAAAAAAGTGTGATTTGCGGCGCCTGGTGCAAAATTGTACCCTTTTTCGTGCAACTTTCCTGTATGGTGTTTTTTTCAACATATTATAAACGTTTTTAATTTTTTATGGTACTTCAATGGCCCTAAAAAAAATCCGCGAACTTTTTTTTCTCTCAAAATCAAAAGTTCAGAAAAACAAAAATAAGTAGATGAATTGATTCTATCGAAATCTAAAATTTTAAAAAGATAGAATCACAGAATTTCAAAAGATTTGCAAAATTGTAATTTGAAAATTCGCAATTTTCAGTTCTGGTATAATTTTTACGGAAAAATTGTTTTTTTTTTAAGGGTTCTTAAGGTTTCAACTGAACAGCGTATATTTAATACTTTAGAATATACTAAGAAGAAAGGAACTAGAGAATTTAAATATTTTTACCGTAAAAATTATACCAGCAATGAAAATTTTGAATTTCGGGGGTCCAAAAATCGTATTTTAGGAAATTACCACATTAATAATTCATGGAAATATTTTATTTTCGATATCTATTTTTTTTTTGTATTTATATTTAAGAAATATTATGGTTCATTTCTTCAGAAAAAAATTTTCCTCTTCATAAATTTTTTTCTTAATTATTTAAAGTATTAATATATTCAAAATATCACATAAAAGTAGAACCCACCTATAAATATAGAGGGAGGGGGGGGGNGGGGTTTATAAAATCATTTTCCATTTTAAAGAATTCATTCGTTTATTATGCATCCCTGTAATTCATCTAAATCTACCCAAACCAAACTAACACTAATATTTGGGGTAGATTATCTAACGTATGTGACATGCACCACTCTTAGTAATACAGGATTGTTATTTGTTAAGATTGGTATTTAGTTTTCACGGACCAGACTTTGGAGTCAGAGGTTGATTGATAAACGTTTATTTCTATACGCACTATAGGCAGGCGTCTTAAATATTGAGTCGTTCGAGAACCTCTGCTAAGTAATAATGGCTGAAATAAGGACTGTAGCCGCGTTGTTTTGTTTATGAGCTGGATTCGTCGTCTTACCTACTGGGCGGGGGGAGGAAGGCCTGTCGAAATAATTTCTCGTCCGAGCCACATTTTCCCGACTGAGTAATCTCGAAATCATTGTCCTTCCAATATTATTTTTTACAGTGCCAAATCCTATAGAAAAAAAATATTTCTAAGAATCTGAAATTCTTTGAAAATCTTTTTGTTTTTCAAAATTTCTTTGGGAAATTAAAATTTTTTCACAAAAATTTTAATTTAGACTTAAGTAGTTATATACACTAAAAGGGATCCGTCCTAGTAAACAATTTTTGGACCCCCCCCCCCTAAAAGAGAGCAAAAAACGATTTTGATTAATTTTCCTGTGTCCGAATTTGATGAATTTAAGTCGCGTCTCAAATCCCCCAAAAACCGTTTTCAATTGAGCGCCTGCAGTTAAAATCTTTAAAAAATTTAATACAAAATACGGGTACAAAAAAGTGCTTAAATTTTGCGTATAATTAGGATTCTCTAAAAATCATTTTTTTGGTACAATTTGAAAACCCTAAAAATGCGTTAAAAACGTTTTACGTGAAAAATTTTTGGTTTTTAATGATAAAAAATGCCATGTATTTGTGCATTTACATGGCGCATTCTTCGATCAAAGATCAGCATGTGCAGTTATTGTAATTTCTACATATATACGATTTTTAAAGGCATTTATTCGCACCCTTTTACAAGATTCTGTAGATCTACGTACACGGTACAAGTAGGGATCATATGTAGATAAATAAATAAACATAGATAGCTAATGTACGCAAAATCACCAAGAATTGTACTGTCCGAAAACTCATACTTCTAGGGGTCAAAGTGTACTTCAATTCAATGATAAGCGGGGTGGTTTGGTATTTAAATGGATTTCATAATTAATAAAACCACTCAGTAACGATCGTTATTTTTAAAAACTTTGTTTTTTAAATATAGTCGTTTTAAAAAATGATCGTTGTTGAAAACGATCGTTTTTTTAAAGCTCGTCGTTTCGTTAACGATGATCCTTCGTGAACGATCGTTAACGAAGAGAGGAAACCGACCTGAAGGGCATCTGACTTATCATTGAGTTGTAGTTTTTAAGAAAATATCAAGAAGTTTTAGCTCCCCCATAACTGTTAAACTTCATATGTCTTTAATGACATTCAATAAAGTTGCATGTATTTTTATCAAGAACGAGTTTTTCCAAAAACGACCGTTTAGTTAACGATTGTTAATATAACTGTCAATTTTTTTTCAAAACAATCGTTTTCTCAAAAGCGATCGTTTTTTAAAAAACAATCGCATAAAAAACGGTCAAAAATCGTTTTTTTTTAAAACGATCGTTTTCAAAAACGTTCGTTTTTCGTTTTCTAAAAGTTCAAAACGAGTCGGTCGTTATTTCCGAAAACGAAACGATCGTTTTTGAGAACGAATGAAAAACGAAACAAAAAACAATCGTTTAAACGATTAACAACCCTTACAGGGCTTTCCATTTCATATTAGATTATCTCCAAGTTTTAACGCCAAGATAAACCCAAAATACTAGAAAACGATAGCCTTTTCCGCAAGGAAATTATTCAATTTTTCAAAATGATTCATTCTTCTTAAATTTTCTGATCAGTCCCGAAAATCGTAATTTAGACCAGTTGACTATCTAATATGATGTGGGACACCCTGTAGGTTGTTTCAGCTCAATGGTAAGGTTTCCAGTCGTAATTTTGTTACGCGAAATTAACCATAACGAACTTTCTAACACTTACACAGGAGCATTACGTGAAATTAATTAATTAATTAATTTTCAGAAATGAACATAATGTGCGCAAGGATATAAAATTTACATTAACATTATTAATTAGAATAAGTTGAAATTTATGATTAACCTGCGCGACATTACTTTCGTAGTAAGTTAGATTTTAATTCAAATTTAAAGTTGATATTCAAAATTTCACAAATTTAGGTCGTAGTTTCACGAAATTTTAACTTTTCTAATAAGGCACAACTCTCACAACAAAAGAGAAAACTTCGTGAAATTAATTTGTAGAAATTTCGCTAATTACACAATAAAAATTGTTAACTTTGGCTTAATGCAATCGTACGAAAGCTAGGAACCCAGGGAATACAGGAGCAGCAACGAATCCAGTGTTCTGATGACCTCTAAAATGATATGTTCTAGCTATGACTTTATGCATATCAATCGAAAGCTAGGAACCCAGGGAATACAGTAGCAGCAACGAATCCAGTGTTTAACCTTTTAATGACCTCTAACGACCTCTTATGACCTAAAATGACCTCCAAAATAAAAATGTTTTAACTATGGCTTTGTGCATATCAAATGAAAGCTAGAACTCCAGGAAATACAGCAACAGCAACGAATCCAGTGTTTGACCTTCTAATGAGTAATGACCCAATAAAAACTTTGATGAAAAGCTTGGGTTCTACATTGATAATCTGTGGGTCAGCAATGAGAATTTGAGGGTCTCCGATGAGATAATGTTGAGACTCCCGATTGTATTCAAATGATGTTGATTTCTTCACAAGACTACCTTTCTATCCTCTAACAAAGTGTGGAATAAAATATATTATTTTTTAAGATAAGAGATACTAGATAGTGATTGAAGAAATTCAGTCGCATAAAAACATTAAGCCTACATTAAGAAAGCCGAATACTACATAAAATCAGGTTTATTGATAAAATTCAATAACAAGTAATAGCTCCAAATAAAATTTTCCACATTAAGAACGTAGGATTCTTCATAAAAGCAGATTTATTAATAAAATTCAATAATAATTTATAACTCAAAATAAAATTTATCGTTTTTTCTAATCGAAATTTTCTACATCAGATCATGGGATAAGAATAATAAAACTATCCTCATTATTAAAGTTTGGGCCAGGAATCCCCGAGAACGTTCTCTCCGTTCAAGTTCTTAAAGGACTGGTTAGCTCTCGTAATCAAGCTCTCCTCAGCAGCACGAATCCAAACTCTGGGATCGTAAAACTTCTTGTTGGGTTTGTCTTCTCCCTGTGGATTCCCAACCTGGACAAAAAAAATGAAATAAAATAAAAATCATGTATAGATAAAAATAAACTTTCCAGAAAGATTGCCAAGATTAACTGTAACATTTAAAATAATAGTTACGAAAACTTTTCTTCACACCTCGTACACTAATATTTTTGTTCACACCTCGTACACTAATAAGTATTCAAAAAACAAGCAACATCTGAAGTTCTATACCTGTCCTTGAAGATATCCCTCGTTCTTTTTATAAAACATCCGAATCCCATCCCAGTAAGCCCACTGTGTATCAGTGTCAATATTCATCTTGATGACTCCGTTGTTAACAGCTTCGCGGATTTCCGCCTAACCAATTACAAAAATTAAAAGCCACTAGTAAGAAAATTCTTCATACCATAGATATTAACATCAAAAGATGCGTCTGGAGTCGGTGTATACTGTACATTTGTTTTTAGTTTAATATTTTCGAACAATTCACAAACCAGTTTTTTGCCTCAACTTGTTAAATTATCAATTGAATTTAAGATTTAAATTTTTCTGAATTCAGTGCTTGAATACGAATTATTGGTATGGTATCCATAATGGATTTTTTTAAATAAACAACTCTGCAAGTATTTGTGAAGCCATTAAAATTTTAAAAACCGATTTTCTGTTGGCAATTTCAACTTTTCAAGAAAATCTTTTCTAAATTTAAAAATCGATCACCGCTATTGTATTCAGAAACCTAATTTAAAAAAAACTTAAGATGTTTACCTCTGTGCTGCCAGAGCCACCATGCATCACCAAAAAAGCAGGTTTGTCCAAATCAGATTTGATCTGCTCCTTGATATACTTCTGATGATTGCCGAGCAGATGTGGAGATAGGACAACGTTGCCGGCTTTATAAACACCATGGACGTTTCCAAAAGCTGCAGCAATAGAGAACATGGGACCAATGGCAGACAGGGAAGTAAATACTTTAAACACCTAAAAATAGAATACGTGAAAATTTCTTATTTTAGTAGATAAGTCTTCTTCTGAAGTCCGCCACTTTTCAACCTTGATGGATGCATCTAACATTGTTCTTTTAACAGTATAAAGCATGATCTAAGTGCAGTGGTAGCAAGGGGCAGAAATTTGTGCAACTTGATAAAAATACCATTAATTTCATTCCCCAGAACATTAGAACGAAAAATTTATAATTAAATGTGTTGCATTTAACAGTTTTTAAAAGTATAAAGCATGATCTAAGTGCAGTGGTAGCAAGGGGCAGAAATTTGTGCAATTTGATAAAAATACCATTAATTTCATTCCCCAGAACATCAGAACGAAAAATTTATAATTAAATGTGTTGCATTTAACCGTTAATATAAGTGCAATAGTTATTTGTAGAAAATTACTGTTTGTGGGTTAACTTATCATGATGACTTAAATCTGAACAAGAAAAATGCAGGGATATATATTTCTGCCAATATCAATTCAGCACTATAATTATTTTCCATAAAAAAATTCAACTTTATTTTAAGCTCGTTTTGTGTAAAACGCTAATATAGTCTTAATTAGTCACTAGAACTAAGAAAAATCAAAGACGAAGGAAAAATTGAAGTAAAAGGAGAAAAAAGGGGAAAGATAGGGAAAGGGGAAATGTAAGGAAGAGGACAAAGGAAGAGGAAATGTTAGGAAGAGGAAATGTAGAGAAGGGGAAAAGTAAGGAAAAGGACCGAAGGGAAAGCGAAAGACAAGGCAGGGAAAAGGAAGGAAGAATGAGTAGGGAAAGGGACTAAGGACGGGTAGGGAAGGGAAATGGAGGGAAGGGGGAAAGTAAGGAAGAGAGGGAGAAGATATGTAATCAAAGAAAGTTAGGAACATAAAGAAGAATAAAGGGAAATGCATGAAAGGAAGGGCTGGAGCTCTTTACCTCTACATATCTAACTTAAAGATCAGTTTTTACCCACAAAATATAATGCAGTGTAAAAAAAACACTTCAGGGAGATTTTATCGCACTGTTTAATTTAAAATAAACTATCAGGTTTAAGTCAAAACACCTAAACATTTTCTTCGAAATATATTAATATGCAGTCTTTAGTTTATTCAACAAATGCCACCTAGGGAATTTTAATCTTATCTATTTTTAAGACATCTCAGGAATCAAGTGCATTTTCATGTCTAAAATCAAACAACTCTACACACACGACAAATTTGTGTTTTAGACTTCTTTAAACAATTACCCCACAATTTTTTTTCAATTGGAAAAAATAGGGTTAGCCAGGTTTTGAACAAATCTGACGGGCGGAAACCTGCAAAAAGGTGAAAACAGCAATATCGCCGGAGCTGAGCTGAAAACTTTAGAATGGTGGATATCAGGATTAATGCTTAATCCACTCTTTTTCTTAATCTCCAGATTAAATATTGCTTGTTTTCCTTATGAATTTAATCTCCAGATAAGTCAACATATCGGGATTAAGAATATCACATTCTAAAGTTTTCAGCTCTGGAAACGTTAGAATAAGATCTTCTAAATCCCGATCAGTTGATTAATCTGGAGACTAAAACAAGAGGAGAACAAGCCATATTAAATCTGGAGATTAAGAAAAAGAGGAGATCAAGCATTAATCCCGATATCCACCATTCAAAAGTTCCCAGCTCGGATCACATTTTCATGGATATTCAAAATATCATGATAAAAACATGGTTCTTCTTTATAATAACTTTTGTCTCCAACCCTAAATCAGCTACAGATTTTTAACACATAAATACTCAAAATAATCTTGCTTCAATAACCCCGTGTTTTGAGCTTTTGGATGATGCATCAAATCTTTTGTTCAAAGATATCATGTTAGAATGAGCAACTTGGAAGTTAGAATTATTAACACCCCTGCTTTCTAAATTTCCTTAAATTTCTATTCCCCCCCCCCTGCGCCGTTGTTTGTCAGTGGTCAAACCTGACCTGTTCAGATGTGGTATACAGCTCCTCAGCTTTAACTCCGGTATTATCAACTCCGTCTTCTTCACCCCCTGTGATACCAATCTCCATCTCCAACCATAGGTTTATGGCAGTCATTCTCTTGAAATATTTGACACATGTTGAGATGTTTTCCTCGTCAAACTCCTCGGAGAGATCAAGCATGTGAGAGGAAAAAAGAGGTTCTCCATTGGCCTTAAATAAAATTAATGCAACAACCTGACGACACATTTAACGATACCGCAGTTTAAAATGAATATTAAGCACAAAGCTAAAGGTTCGACCCATAGATAAAAAGATTAATGTTGATGTTAGGATTCAAAAAAGGAAATAACCCTCCCAGTCTGTAAAATGAAGGCAAACCCTGCAAATTGTAAATGAAATGTTAATGAAAACTGTAGGCAACTATTCAGACAGGATTATTTAAATTAAAAGAAAATTACAGGGATAAGTTCTCATTAATTGAATGATCCAAGCTTTGGGGAAATAATTTAACTTAGCTTTAAGTTACAATTTTTTCTCAAAAAAACTAAAATTCCCCTCCCTAAATATTTCTGACCATTTCAATGAAAACTGAAATGAAGAATAAAATGTACGACCTTGAAATACTCTTCATCTGCTTCCAGCATACCATCAAACCAAGGGAGCAACTTCTTGGCGCAATGGTCGGAGTGAAGCACAACTGGAACATTATAGTGCTTCGCCATCATCCTCACGTGCTGAGCTCCGGCAATAGAACCGAGGATCGCCGCTTTTTCGTTAGTGTTCTTGATCCCTTTACCAGCCAAGAATGCTGCCCCTCCGTTTGAGAACTGGATAATAACAGGAGAGTTAATATCTCTAGCAGCCTGGAGTACTGCGTTGATCGTTGAGCTTGAAGTACAGTTGAAGGCTGAAAATATCTTGTTAAACAGGATAGCGAACAAAGAGTTAGTTGTAAAAAGAAGAGTCGACTATTAAAATGGTTTACCTGGCAGAGCGACCTTGTTGTCTCTGCAGTATTCCATGAGCGTGAGAAGGTTCTTTCCGGTCACGACTCCTGGAGGAACAATACCATTTAGGCCCATTCTTTCTGAAGAAAAGACATTAAAATAAGCAATTTACATAAGTTCGTAAATTAAAAGTTCAACTTTTTTAAACGACCAGAGGCTATCACTACGGCGCAACATCATTCAATATCAAAGGTTATAACTTCTACTGTGGATTGCGGAAGTTCACTCCAGCAAACTTTGCTCCGGGTCCTAGTTCCTCCTCGATCCTGAGCAGCTGGTTATACTTAGCAAGTCTCTCTGACCTGCAGGGTGCACCGGTCTTGATTTGACCTGTTCCCAGTCCAACAACCAGGTCAGCGATGAAACAATCCTCAGTCTCACCAGACCTGTGAGATACCATAGTGCCCCAACCTTGAGCCTTGGCCATCTGGTGAGCACGGATGGACTCTGTTACTGACCCGATCTGATTAACCTTCAAAAGAAGTGCATTGCAGGCTTTCTTGTCGATTGCGGTCTGGATTCTTTTAGGGTTGGTAACAAGCAGATCGTCACCAACAATTTGAATTGAAGTTTCAGAAGTGAGTTTAGTATATCCCTCCCAATCATCTTGGTCAAAGGGATCCTCAATCGAAACCACTGGGTAATCCTTAATGAAACCTTTGTACATTTCTCCAAGCTGATCGGAGTTAATCCAGTCAGCCTCATTAGACTCTGGGTTTTTGAAATCGAGGTCGTATTTTCCGTTCTTATAGAACTCAGCGGCTGCAATATCCATACCAATTTGAATTTTGCCTTCGTAACCAGACTTTTTAATAGCCTCTACCAGAAGTTCTAGAGCCTCGCCGTTGTTCTGAAAGTTGGGAGCAAAACCTCCCTCATCACCAACAGCAGTAGCATCCAACCCGTACTTCTTTTTAATGATGCTCTTAAGATGATGGTAAAGTTCAGAGCCCATTCTCATAGCCTCGGAGAAGCAGGTAGCTCCAGTGGGAAGTACCATGAATTCTTGCATGGCCAGTTTGTTTCCCGCGTGACTCCCGCCATTGATGACGTTGAGTGCAGGGACTGGCATGATCACATCCTTGACGCCAGCCAAATCAGCAATGTGACGATAAAGAGGCACACCTAAATAAGAATTTTAGAATTAACTTCTTGTTAAAAATAAACCATAAAGGTCGGGGTATGAATCTATGTATAGCCTGGGGGCGTTTCCCCCCCCCCCCTAGAAAAAGGCCTTAGAGAATAGGTATAGGGTTGAAATGCATGTTCATAGCCCAATTTCTAAAGGCCAGCTCATAGAAGAAAAAAATTAGACCGATAAGTTTGGGTGCAGGGGAGCATTGAAAAAATGCTTTTAAAAAAGGGTAAAAAAATGAAAAAAATATTTTTTTTTGTTTTACGTGTTTCTACATACATTTTTCAAGGGTTTTTCAAAACTATAGTTTTTAAATCTGTAGCTTTAGTCACAAAAAGTTGTAGGATATTTTAGATTTTTTTCACAGAACTTTTTTTCACCCTTTACCCTACCCTATAAATTTTTAAAAAATATTTTTTAACAAAAAAACCTTTAAATTACTATTCATTAAAAGTCACAAAATTCCACGTGATAATATTAAAAATGAGTGCTAGGACAAAAAAAAATTAAAGGGGGGGCGCCATACTGCAGAATTCTCCCGATAAAATTAAAGATATTAAGTCACAAAAAAGTTTAGGCTATTTAGATTTTTTTTCAGACCGGATTTTTTTTCCACCCTGTATCCTACCCCTTAAAAATTTTTAAAAATATTTTTTTTGACGAAAAATCCTTTAAACTTTGAATCTGAATCCATAGAAACAATGTTGTTAAAATGACGTCTACGACTGAGGACCGATTGGGACGTCTGCCAAAAAACCTAGCCAGTATGAAAATGTAGAATAATTTATTAATGAGCGGAGATAATATAACTTAAGCCAAGCTTTTATATCAGTGCTCCATGTTCGTCGCCGATTTCAACATGTTACTTAAACATATGTAATGCACATGCATTTCTTGAATTCAAACAGAGCTTATAAAACGCGCGTTTCAGTCTTTTCACAGTTAAGCAGTCTCAACATATTAAGTAAACATGATACGCTAAAATGTTTCCAGGGGTATATAATGGATTGATTTGATGAGCTGGAAAAAAAAGAAAAATTGCCATCAAAAGGCAAGTTTGTTCGTTTATCCTTTTAAATCCTTCCAACCCAAAAATCTATTTTTTTTCCCTTAATATCATTTGTTTTCCACAACTCTGCAGATAACACTTTAAACAAATGTTCACCCAACTTCTGGAAATAAAATTATTTTCAAAAGGGGAGGAGTAAATTGAAGGAAATATACTCCCCTGAATGATTCGCAACTCAAGCTTTAAGCTCCCTAACGCACATTTAAAAATATTAAAAAATTAAATAATTCTCTGTTCGGTCTAATTTAGAATTATAGAATCGAGCAATACATTAAATACAAGGTGTATATTTTTAAGAAAAAAATTATATGTGAAGATCTGGGAAATAAAATAAAAATTGGACATTTGATTTGATGTGATTTGATCATTAGAGAAAGAAAAAAAGAAATTGGACACCAAAGCAACTTTTTACATTCATTTTACTTTTAACCCCAAAAAAATTGATTTTCCCCTGAAATAACTTCTGGGGGAAAAAATGATTACCAGAAGAAGGGGGGGGGGGAAGAAAAATACTNGTCAGAATTGTGATTCTATGTACATGGTGTACCCAACAAGATCTTGTGTGCGATAACCTGGTTTCGACATACAGAGCGTCCCATATCATATTAGATTATCTCCAAACTTTAACACCAAAATAAACCCTTAATACTCGAAAATTCTTATATAAGCCTTATGTTATTTTTCAAAATGATTCATTCTAATGAAATTTTCTAATTAGTTCCGAAAATCGTAATTTAGACCCGTTCTCGGTCTAATATGATGTGGGACACCCTGTACATGTAAAATCTGTGGTGGTATGACCCAAAAGGCAAGAGTTTTAATCATGAGTTCAATTACCTACAAATCGCTTTGCAACATTTATGGTAGGATGACCCACAATATACAGCTGGCTATTAGCACGCGCCGGTCAGAATGCTTAAATATCGATGTTAAGAATGCTTAACTGTGGAAAATGCGTACTTTTCAGAAAAAAAGGCGCGCGCGCACTCTTACTCACAATCCCGTAATAATGCATGTACATTGTACAATGCATATCATTAGTGCTTAGGATACATTTGATAATCATGCGGATTTGGATCCCGGACCCGCACGGGCCGCACTAATTTGAACTGCAAAAACATGGACGGATCCAGGGCATTGACAATTCTTTAAGATTTACCGAGTTTTCGGACATAAGAATTTATAAAATTATTTAACCTCGTTTTAAATTTTTTTTACGCTAAAACTTTATGAACCTTAAAGAAATAAGGAAATTTGTGATTATCTCTCTTTAAACAACAGTTGAATGGAGTGACCGGCTATGTAAGGTAGTTGAACTGAGTATGCAGTGTTGTGGAAAACTTCTTTCGGATTCATTTCCGAGTTTGAGCGCAAATTCGACGTTCAAAACTCCTACTTTAGGGGTGGAAACGTTTTCAGAATTAGTTTTTTTAAATTATTAAATAACGACGACATAAAATGTAAAAAAAGTTCTACATTAAACTACAGAAGTCATGTATAGGAACATGTTGAGAAAATAAAAATTAATCTTATCATCGAAAATAAGTAATCTTATTCTATCATTAGTTTCTATTTTCTCATTATTCACAAAGATTTTCGCAGAATTTCTAGAATTATTATTGAAAAGACGACATTAGACGAATTCAAAGAAATCTGCGAATAAATTCAAAGAAAATAAGAAATTCAATATAATAATGAAAACGAAATAATCGTTTTTAACATTGATTTGACAAATTTCTTTTGAGAAATATGTTCCTATCCATCTAATTAGAATTTGCGCTCAAACTCATGATTTACAGATCTTTAAACTTTCTCAAATGAATCCGAAAGAAGTTTTCCACAACACTGCATACTCAGTTCAACTACTTTACATAGCCGGTCACTCCCTTTAAGACTTAGGTTTAGAGAGCAAAAGGTTTTTAAAATTTTTTTTTGTAATATTTTGAAACTTGGATCCGGATCCATGGATCCGTATATTTTAACAAACTGCATATTTCCGATTCAACTTTTTAAGACGATGCTATGTTGGTAACTGTTTAAATTTCCAGAGTTATGGGTGTTGTGTCTTCTTAGTTCGAAATGTCAGGTATACGACATCGGATTGCAAAGATATAGGGATTAAGAAATCTTGACTAAAAACTCAATCTAAACTCAAAAGCAGTGTTTTGACACCTTCCGATATTTGTTGATGTTAGTTTTTTTTACAAAAAAGCGAGTAGGTGCACTTTGGCTCAAATCCGTTAAATACAATTCTGATGCCAATGATTATACCAATCGAATGATAGATTCCATATTTTTATTTACCCTTGTGTGCTGCCCCAGCTTTGCAAACAGCCATGGATACTCCTAGGATAGCGTTGGCTCCCAGACTGTTCTTGTTGTCCGTTCCATCCAGCTTTAGCATCAACTCATCTATTTTTTCTTGCTCAACAGGATCCAAGCAGTTCTTGATCAGTTCAGGGGCAATGATATTATTAACATTGTTTACAGCCTAAAACAAAATTCATTATTTCAGNGAGGGGTTAAGCTTATTCAAACCGTCAGTGTTATGTACAATCTCATTTCAATTTCCCCCATTTCAAAGAGGCTCTAATTTGGACAAGCTGGTTAAATGGATAGGACACTGGTCATAAAACTAAAAACAACATCTATCTACATCTAGTTATAAAACCAAAACCTGCGTAATCATTAGTACGTTAAGGTCCAAAAAACTGAAATTTAGAAGAACACATTTTAAAATGTTTAGAACTCGTTGTTCTAATTCACTCATTCAAAAGCTGTCTGACATTTATGTTATCGTCAACGGCGCAGATTTTTAATCCAAATTACATGACTTTGAAAAGAGGAGGGGAATCGCGGGAAGCCACCTATTAAGATGTACATGTTTGAATTAAATTAATTTAATACCGAGCATTAGTTATGATGAGAAATTAGATTAATGAATAAGAAACTATAATGTTACCATGATTAAATTAGTGAACAGAACGGGAAGATTTAAATTACCTTAGTCACGCCCTTTCCAAGCCAGGTCTCGGCCTTATCCCTAAGTTCTAGGGCCTCATAGATGCCAGTGGAAGCCCCTGAAGGGACCGCAGCTCTGAAGATTCCCTTCTCTGTAGTAAGGTCGACCTCAACAGTAGGATTTCCCCTGGAGTCATAAATCTGACGTGCGTGAATCTTCTTGATCGGCATTCTCAAATCTGGAAATTTAAGAAATTTTAAGTTCTTTGTATTTAGCAGACCGCTCTTGACCACCAGTTTAAGTCGAGCTTTAAAATAATCGATGCATTGTAATTTATTTAACTAAAACTAGCGTTCTCCCTCATGTCGGCGATTTAGACCCGTTCTCGGTCTAATATGATGTGGGACANGAAATATACCCGGGGCTATGCACCGCGGCTAGGACAGGCTGGGGAGCCGGGCGCTGCGGCCACATGACCAACTTTATCCATGTGTGCATTTGTTAAAACTACCTAAAAATCTATAAATATCGTACAAAATTGATAGGAGGGGGGCGGGGAGCGTTATTGCTTGGAGACAATCAAATATGATATGTAACTTGCTGAGATTAAGATCATCGGCATCACTGATCGAGTCTACAGTCAGACAAATGATAAATTTATCGAATTGCATTAAATAAAATAATCAGTTTCTTTTGGATGGTGTGATGCGACTACAAGCCAGAGTTGCCAGATAGATTGAATTGGAAATCCCCAAAAACAAGAAAAATCCATCCCCAACAAATCTCCAAATGTAAATTTTTAAAAAATCCCCAAAAAGGAAAATATAAAATCAATATTAGAATGATAATTTCAGGTTTTAAATTTTCTGCTTTGGAATTTGTCGTAGCTAACTTTTCAAAACAAACATTAAAATTTATGATTTACTGTATTTTTTCCATTTTCCTAACTCAAAGCAGAAATCTCCAAATTAGTTTGGAGTTATCCCGAAATTCTCAAATAAGACCCTTTTGGGGATGAAATCCCCAAATTGGCAACTCTGCTACGAGCTCAGTCTGAAGTCAGTCTGCAAAATGTAATATTACTCCGCCCTTCCAGTCCGACCTGTTACTATGGAAAACTGGTTTTACTGTTCATCGAAGGGAGGAAGGCCAGCCATAACAATTTCTAGTCCGAGCCACATTCTCCTCATTTTCTCTCCCGAAATCCTCTTCCTTCCAGTATTATTTTTTTACACTGTCTAATCCTCCAAGATAAAACAATTAAGAATCCGGCTATGTGAGGGCAAAAAAGAAATATTGAATTTTTGTAAATCGAAAAAAAATACGTTTCAACTGCAAATTAAAGTTTTTGAGTGAAATGTCTTTGAAAATGTTCATCTTTTTTATGCGCATTTTCAGATATTCCTGGTTTAGAATGCCGTAAATAATTATGAGTTTATAGAACTTTAATCTTTTTATAATAATTATAGTGAAAACCTTAGAATTTTTCGAGGTGATATCATGGGAAAAATGAAAGACAGAGGTGTTCCATATATTTTGCTATTTATGTTATATCGCGAAGGAATTAGCCATTACGGAGGCAGAAGAGATTTAAGTTTAAATAAAGTTTGACATCATTCTAATGGCTTTAAAGATTCCAACTTAATGTAATCAATTGCAATTTGCTTTAGTCTACCCATATTTTATGCCCTAACAAGGCCATATTTTTTAAAAATAGTTTTATCTTCAATAATAGAGGACCAGGATTTTGATGTGACTCGGACGAGAAAATTTGAAGGTGGCTATAAGGACTAGGAGTTGTTGTGGCTGCCCTTCCTCCCCTTGTTCATCAATCCGACAGGGAGAGTGGGAGTTGTGTTCAATGCCCCGGAAAATTCCAAAACAGAGAGAGGGGGATTGAATTTTGTAGATCCAGAAAAGTAATTAAATTAGTATTTATTCAGGGTTAGGTTAGGTTAAGACACTTTCTGGGCCGAGCACTGCTGCTAGGACAGGCTAGGGGGCTGAGCGCTGCGGCCACATGCCATACATTTAAGACCCCACCAGCTGCCAGTCTCTATGCAGGCATCCCACAGATATTTTTTTTCTGGATCTTCAAAATTCAATCCCCCCTCTCTCTGTTTTGGAATTTTCCAGGGCATTGAACACAACATGAATCCCACTCTGCTAATCCAACAGAGTACGTTTCTTGTATGAATAAATTAAAGTCTGTCCTATTCGAGGGAGGGAAAGGCAAGTCGCCATGAAACCTGTGGAAAAGTCTCCAAAACCCTGCAGAAACAGTCTTCAAAACCTGGGAAAATCTCGGAATCATGTAAGGCGCAAAAAAAGTGTTAATCAGGGGGAAATTGCATGATTTATCATTTTTTTCGACATATCCCAGCTAGCATTTCCGCCGTTTTTTGGTCTCCGACATATTGTATGTGCAATCAGTGAGGTTTCTATACCTACATAGAATGTCCATATTTCTGCTATAACTTGTCTGTAGTAGGTGCCATGGCGAAGTAATTATGTACCACATTCACATAGTATATACTCCATATATCTCTGTACCACCATGAGTACAAACTCCATATTTCTGCTATATCTCCTCTGTCATAGGTGCGATGACGAAGTAATATGTAATTATGTCAGACAGATCCAGGTGGGTGACATTTAGTACACTGCCAGGACCTACATCAGACATGATGAATGTAGCTCTGCCAAACTCTGGCGTTGTCTGTTGTAGGAGGCTGTATAACTGAAATTGGTTTTTTTGCTAGCTGGGATGAACCGTATCACATAAAAGTATTAGTAATAAGGGCAATTTTCATCTTATTCACTGCCCTAGTATATGTTTATTTTGTGTTTCTAGTTTAGGCAAAATTTTTGAAATTGACCTGCAACAATGCACAATATTTTCAGTATTTCAATGATATTTATCATAAAAATACATTAACCTTTTTTAATGAAGTCCAGCAATTTTTTAATTCTTGTCATTAAATAACAGTTTAACTCCAATTAATATGATTTTTACTGGTTCCTATTTAGAAGTCACCTACACTGTAATCTATAATTATTATAATTATGCCTCTTGTCTCCAAGCCTCCACATTTTGATCTCAGCATTGCTGTATTTATTTTTTATTTACCTTTATGGCTTAACAAACCAAAACTCAAAATATCTCTTCATCCGAAAAAGTTTAAAAATCATTAAATCCACAAAGTTTAAATATTAATTGAAATTTCATTTAATTGATCTTAGCTTGTTTTCTTTTGAAATGTTTATACAAAGCATATGATAAAAGCACAAATTAAAGTATTTCACAAAAACTATTTTGTTTTGTGCTTATATGGTTTGATTCATACATGATACACTGGTAAAATAATATGAAATAGTTATTCACACCTTCACAAGTAAAGAAATTTGTGAAATTTGGAAAAACAAAAATAGAAATCTTAATCTCAATAAAAATAGACTTTTCAAAACAAATTGTTTATATATCATTAAAAATTAGTTTATTATATGTTGAGATTATTTGAAAAAAGTTCTTTTTTGTGTCAAATAAGCCAAATATCTTTTAATGAAGACCAAAATGCGGGGCATTTTGACAGAATTGTGGAGGCTTGGAGGTAATTTTACGTATAAGGAGGCTCTGGAGGTCATTTTGTGAGGCTCATGGTGGGCCTGCACCCCCTCCCTCCTTTAGGGGGATGATATATCATTGTGATACCAAAGATCAATAAAAATATTATATGGGAGTCATATTATATCAAAATTGATTTCAAAGTAAAATATAATTAAGCAAAAGATTTGTTTAACTAAAATAGCTATTTATTAAATGTCATGTTTCGTGGGACACCCTGTACTATAATATATACTATACACGACACAACATAATAACATTTGAGTCTTCCGGCAAGGCAGTTAATATAACGTTTTTACATAATATTAATAAATTTAGCTTGCATTGAAATTGTTAAAAATCAACAATCCAGCCACATTATAATGTATATAACGCGAAAGATGATACCTTAAAGAAAGTTTAGAAGTTATATTAAATAGCAATAAATTGTGTGTTCAGTTGATAAACTGCTTTACATTTTACAAAGAAGATTTCATATCATAGTATGCATGTGGGCATTGAGACAAATTTTTTGGAGCTGCAGTTGAAAGAATAAGAATAGATGTAAATTCACAATAAATTGACTGGACCTGGGTTTTACAGATTTCCACAAAATAATTCATATTTCAATTTTAAACTTAAATATAAATATCTTAATAATATATCTTTTGCATGAGGTGGCTGGATTTTTTAAAATCGCAATTTCAATGCACTAAATTTACCATTTAACAACGTAATAATCACTGAAAGACTCAAATGTTGTGGCGTGGTAAACCAAACGGTTGTGGCTTATGGCTGACGGAAGACAAAAAGCTAATATATGGAAGCAGTAAATGTTCTGGCTTGTGGCCCGGCAGTCTGCCTTCCCCCACTCTCTATTTAAGTATATAATACTATGACAGACTATACAAGACTATGCAATATAGAGAATACTAATTAATTGAAATTGTATAAAAAAGCTATTACACTTTGTTATCATGGTTTCCGCTATGCCTATAGAAACAGACTGAACAGTGAACTGAATCAAAGAGAAGGATTGCACGTCCCGTCCGCTGGAGGTTGAAATATATAAATATATATATATATATATTAGACGAGGGGGGGAGTACAAGTACAACTTTTTATAATCACAAATAATATTGCTTCCCTGCTAACCCTAAAACCTAAAAAATATTAAAGTCTCTATTATATATGTATACATATCTAGGTATTTTTACCAATAAATATGTATTTAAGGAGTTTTTCGACATAGTATGTACTCCATGTCCCCTCCATGGCTCATTCCTCGTAAGTGCTATGGCGAATAAATTACTACACGGCCATATTATATACTTCATATTTCAGCTAAATCTTCTCTGTGATAGGTGCGATGGCGAAGAAATTACTCCACCACAATAGTATATACTTCATATTTCCGCTATATTTCCTATATCTCCTCTGTCATAGGTGAAATGGTGAAGTAATTATGTACCACTAAAGTATATACTCCATATATCTCTGCTGTATATCCTGTGTCGTATGGTCAGGGTGGAGTAATTGCATACAACCATAGTATATACTTCATGTATTGTGATAACCAGAAAACTCTGGAATAGGAAGTTGACTTTTAGACTCAAGTTATGACTTTAAATAGTCCAATGAACATGAGGCACAGCAATTGCGCAGT